TGGAAACCTTGACCCCTGCTTGAGGAGATCGTAACTTCCATTCTAGAAATAAAACAGTGAAGATGCCAAAGCCACTAAAGATTTTGTTATTGACTAGATGGGCTAAAATATACAGGTCACTTAACTTTTCTAGACTTCAGAGCCCTCTTGTATAAAATGAAAATGCTGGACTAAGTAATCTCTAAGGCACCTCTCAGCTTACAATGCCACGATTTTAAAGTTTTATATCTTATAAGGAAGCCACCATGCAGTTACTGTCACAAATATTCACCCTGTTAAAAGTAGCCATCGGGCTTCCCTGGTGGCGCAGTGGTTGAGGGTACGCCTGCCGATGCAGGGGAGCGGGTTCGTGCCCCGGTCCGGGAAGATCCCACATGCCGTGGAGCGGCTGGGCCCGTGAGCCATGGCCGCTGAGCCTGTGCGTCCGGAGCCTGTGCTCCGCAACGGGAGAGGCCACAGCAGTGAGAGGCCCGCGTACCGCAAAAAAAAAAAAAATAGCCATCATGTTTTCTCCTCCAACCTAAGGCAGATTTCAGTGACTACCTCTGTCATTTTTCATGTTGACAGTGTATAGTGTGGTATCATAGCTTCAGAATGAAAACTCTGCTCAGATGCAACGTGTGCCTTTAAAATGCATTTGTGTTGTGCATTTGTAGCTTTGAACTGATGTGGTCGTGACCCTGGCAAGCCCTCATCAGCTGTGAGCTGCACTTCAAGTTCTTGTTAATAATAGCTAAAGCACTAAAGCTCGCTAATGGAGACTTAGAGCAGGTTCAAGGGTATCACCAGGAGAAAGCTGATCTCATTCTCATAAACTCTGATTCTTGAACGAAAAAAATAAAGTTACAGCCCCCTGCCCCTATCAGAAATTCCCAAAGGACTGAGACTCATTACTGGGGAACGTTAAAAATATCAGTGTCTGGCTCCCATACCCAGCTATTCTGAGTTAATTGGTCAGGTGTGCAGCCTGGAAAGAAGGAATTTTAAAACACCTCAAATTTGTGCTATTGTGAAAACACTGTTGTAATAAAACGTTGATTCACAGACTGTGAGCAAAGCCAGCTTGCCAGACAAAAGATTGAAGAGAGACCACAGTGAGGTCAAATTCATAGTTAGGTTTCTTAGTGTCTGCTTTTTCATTCAGATTCTAGCATGCTTGATTATATCCTGTAAAATTTTTTTTCCACGTTGGACAATGGAGAAGTTTGGGGAGAATTGTCTAACACTATTTTGCAACAGACCTTGGTGATTATTTTCTGATACGACCTAGTTAAATAATAAATGCTGGAGAAGATGTGGAGAAAAGGGATCCTCCCACACTGTTGGTGGGAATGTAAATTGGTGCAGCCACTATGGATAAGAGTATGGAGGTTCCTTAAAAAAAACCCTAAAAATAGAGTTACCCTATGATCCAGGAAT